GCCGCCTGCGATGGGCGTGGCAAGTGGTGTGCCAGAAGGTTGGCTACTAGGTAGTGGGATCGTCACCGACGACACGTCGCAACGCGTCTTGGTCGCCCTGGTAGAGGGAGCGGCGAGAGCCGCACCCGAGGCGAGGAGAGTGAAGAGCAAGGCAGTGAACTGCATGTTTGGTCACTGGTGAAGGTGACTATGGCTGGGCTGGTGAGTTCCCGTTGCTTAAAGGGCGAGTAACTGCTGAGCAGTGTCGAGACAGGGGCCTCACCGTTCACATTTTATAGGTCTCCTCTGCCCGTGAAGACGATCGTGTCTAGCGGTAGCGGAGCCGCCAGGCACTTTGCTCACGTTCGTCCCGTCATCATCGTCGCTCTTGCCATTGGAGAGCGGCTGCATTGAGATGGCATCGCCATTAAAGCGGCATCTGGCATTCCATCAGCCGTAAACCTGTTTGATGACCTCTGTGTTGAGTGCGAGCCCTTGATCGCTCTCATTCCCCCTTCACTTACCGTAATGTTGGGTGTCTTCTGGTGCATTCTTTATCAACCCCACCTTCGGCAAAAGGCTCCACATAACTGTTGTACTGCATAAGAGAATGCCGTTTCGTCTGTGTACCGTTTAGCAGGTTCGCTGTGAAGAAAGGTAAAATCCACCTTTCATGTTAGCATCTTGCCGCCTGCAGTATACGTCTGGAATGTAGAGTGACATCAAGCTACATGAGCTTGTTGAACATGAGAAACGGAGAAACTTAGAATGTCTCTGGGACTCAAACATGGATAGATCATCACGTCTGATACGGCGTCTGCCCGCCTAAGACGCATCCGCAGAGAGACATGAACGCAACAGCCCGGCTCTTGCACACATATCTCCTCCTGGTTGCCAGGCACCTCGTCCAGATCGGCGTCAGAGTTGATCGGTTGCTCAGACTTGTATACTTACGTGCGCATAATTGAGCTGTCAGTTTCGGCTCTGCAATGTCAGCCCATATTACAACTCGAGCTAATAGGAGTACCGACGGGCACGCCTTCCAGCGCAAGACTGGCCTCAGAGGACACTATAGGACACGGGCTACATTCTTCGTCCAGAACGTGACTGGATAAACGGTTCGCTCTAGTCTTAACGCTCCAACTCCAGGAACAGCGCTCTCGAGTTGGTGCATTCCTTGAGCATTGGGCAGCCTCAACTGAATTCATCATTCTTGCTATACGTCAGAAGGTGTACCTTCCACATGCGCCCTCTGCAAATGCACAAATGTTCCCTTGCCAAGTTTTCCAGCCTGACGGGACTGAATAAATCGAACTCGGTGAAAACGAAAGGCGAACACACACAAAGCGCGTACCGCCTCATTAACGCCACTAGCCAGCACCATGACACAGCATGCCGCTGAATGCAGCCTATGCCGACGCCTGGCCGCCCGCCGGTGCGATCCGCACCCATTCATTGACCCACATGTAGCGCGAGAACGCGACATACAGCCAGCGGAACCACACGAGCTGCGACGCGTGCTCGCGCATCGCGCGCAGCGCCGTGCGGTACCGCGCCACGTCCGCGACGAACGCCGGCACACCGGACGCGTGCGGACGGAGCAGCGCGTTGAGCGAGAGGTCGAGCTTGGCGAGAAGCGCGGCGATGGGTCCGAGGTATTTGTGCGCGAGGTGGACCGTGATGAGGCCGAACGCGTGTATCTCGATGGGGTGGTCAGGGGGCAGCGTCTCGAGCAGACGTCTAACGCCACGGGGGAGCGATTTGTGGTTTGGGTGCGAGGAAATGCCTTGTTTGTCAAAGGTCAGAATCTATGTGGCGAACGCGCTTGAGAATGTGTAAAATGAAGACGAAGAGGTAATGTGGCTGACAGTATCAATCTGGTGCCCCAGGACGTATGGTCTAATCGTATTCGCAACAATATCTGTGTTCCATGACGCAGTAAAGTTGTCCTGAAGGTCTCTGATTCGAACTTCAGCGGAGCGAAAACAAGCGGTGAAAAAGATGAACCCACGGGCTATCTACAAGCCAGCGGTGCAGCTGGTTCACACCGAGAACATCAAGACTGCGACCCAGCTCTTCTCGCCGGATTTTTCCCAACCCATCCGCATCGCCAACAGATAAACAGAGCGAGAAGAGTTCGCGAGGCTCTGCATTTTCTGTGGCTGCATCAGCAGATGGGGATGTCAGTGCCGTAATAGTGGGCGCAAAGAACATGCACTCGTCGTCCGGGTGCGCTGTCAAGAGAAGAATCCTCGACGCACGCCCCAGGCCCGCGGTGGGAGCTCGCGCCAGGGCTTGCACGTTCGACTGCGCAGGTGTGGTTAGCACTCGCACACACAGCGAGACCGCGAGCAGGGCGAGTGAGAGGCGCGTGAAGAACTGTGCGAGCATGGTCCAGGGCCTGTCGCTGCAACCTGGTGACTTCCTAATCGCCCAGGTTTTCTAGCTTGAGGACGCTTTAAACCTTGAAGTTGAAGTTAGTTGATACCGCCACATGCAATGAAGCGGAGGAGTGATGCTGTTGCGGGCGCTCCGAGATCGCTGCCCGGCATCCGTGCCTGAGCCCGAGCGCTTGACAGTCGGGCCCGACGTAACGCACGCTGGGGATAAGTTGCGAACGTTTACTAGAGCTCATCGCTGCATTTTAGGTCTAACTAAAGGAGGATTATAGAGTCCTCCTTCTCTCTCACCGTTGTGATGCTTGAGTTCATGCATGGAGAACTTGGCAAGTAGGCCACGGTCGCTCCGGAGGACAATGATCCGAATCTGATCCGGCTCGCCGACGCGCGTATGTGGCGAGCGCCGAGCACAAACGCGCTTTGTCCGTGAACAATAGACCAGCACCGTCGAGCAGTGTTTGTACGCCAACAACCACACTGTCCTTACGCAAATCATCACCGTAGGGACACCCTGACAGCCTTATTGTGACTGACAGCTATCCTATTGGCCTGTTAGTGGACGTAGGGCACGCACAATGGGCCAATGGCCTGTTCGCAAGGCTGTGGACGGTGAGCACGTCTATTATAATCCTCGATTAGCCGGTGGCCACTGTGGCCTATATTTTGCTCAGTGTGCTCGTTGTACGGTATCTTTTCTTGCTTGCAGAGCTCGACCCCGAACGTTGACCGTCTAGAAGGGCCCTAAGACACCTCCCTCTTCTCATCTTCTCATTTCCTAGTATCCTAGAACACAGTGCTACATCTATCATTACATCTCTTTCCAAAATACCAGAATTATGGTCGCGATACCCAACCTTCTACTTCGCAGTCTTCTCCCCGCTTCGATCGCGTCCGCGCTCGACGACCGCCTCGCCTCCCTGCAGAGTGCGAATATGACAGGCTGTGCCCTCGCGAGCACGAACATGACCGGCACTATGCACCTCGCCACGGTCCACGGCTCACTGGTACCGCCTACAAACGCCACGCCCGTATACGTCGGTATCGGCTTCGGGGTGCAGAACTACACGTGCACGCCCGCGAACAACTTCACGTACGTCTCCAGACTAGTCTTGGTCCTCTACTACAGACCTCATGCTCACGCCGGCCTCAGGAACATCGGCGCCGTCGCCCAACTGCTCGACGCCAGCTGCCTCGTCCCCACGCCGCTCTTCGTCGCGCTACCCGCCGCGCTGCACGCCTTCTGGACCGCGCTGCCCCCCGCCGCACCGACCATCCAGTCCCTCCTCGCGCTCCTGCACAGCACGCCCTCGCCGCTCGCGCCCTCCCTCGTCCTCGCGCAGCACTACTTCGTCACGAACCCCCTCACCGGCGCGGGCGTCTCCCCCAAGTGGGACTTCTCCTCCTCGGGGAACCCCGCGCTGGCGGGCGACGCGGACGCGGTCGTCGTGGCGCGGCCGAAGGGCAGCGCGCCTGCGCCGAACGCGGCGGCGGATGTGAACTGGCTGGACGTCGTGAACGTCGGCGGGCCCGCGGGCGGGCGGATTGCGGACGAGGTCTTCCGGACGGACACGATCGGCGGGCAGCCGCCCTCGTCGGTGCGTGTTTCTTCTCTTCTTCCTTGCGCGAGTCGCACGATGTCGCGTTGCGCGTGTGCGCGCTCCCGCGACGTGTCCGGAGAACGCTGACTGGGTGACTTGACAGTGCGTATTCGGACAGACGCAGGACGTCTCCGTGAAGTACGTGGCCACGTACTGGTTCTTCCGCAACAACAGCAACAGCACCTCGGCACCCGATGGTCAGACGCAGAACAGCACCGTGGCGAGTGCCAGTGCGCCCTAAGCCCAGCGCATGTGCGCATATGAACATCACGCCAACGTCAATGTCATTCTGAACGTCGCCCAAGTCCGAACAACGACCAACACATCAACACAATCGCGGGACCGTCTGCTCGACTGTGGCTTTACACTTTACCTTCCCATCACACAGCATGCATCCGCACCCGCATCTACATCTACATCTACATCCGCATCTAACCACCCGTATTGATCTGATACGGACACTGCACCTCTGTTCGGGATATACCCCATTCGTCTCGTGCATCACTGTACGGTCTTCACGGTTCTCGGCCCATTGCTCTCCCTTCGAACAGACGAACTCGGATACTTGGCACGGACCTTTGCGTATACCTATACTTACTGTATTGTCTGTACATCACCCACCCCGTTTTGTAGCTCTAGTCGCATATATCTGTACGCTCCTTTCGTTACTTTACACATTTTCCGAACGTCCAGCTTGACACCACGTCCCGAGTGCTGCTATGCATAATTTTCTCTCTTCCAATGTATCCACAAATGCCAGGTGCCACAACGGTGCCCGACTGTGACACGACCCGCACCCCCGCGGCGCACCGGTCCGGTCCCCGAACTACTTACTCGCAGCGACAGTAGCGCCCGACGAAAGCCTCCAACGGCGCACAAGTCGCAACGCTCGTAGGGTGCAAACACCGCACCCAACACTGTATCTTCGCTGGTTATGAACAATGAACGGAACGTCCATGCAAATGGTTAGACGTCCGCCGTCCGCCTCCAGCCCTCTGTAACCCCAACCCTCGAAACTCCCCTCGACAGGGTAGCCTAACGGCTACGGCGTCACGCCGCTCGCCGCCGTGACGAGGCGAGTTCGACTCTCGTCCCTGTCATATAGCCGTAGTATCTGACTTTTTTCTCAACAGACCACGTCCTCGAGGCTCGCATAGATCCGAGATCGCGCACCCAGTCGCAACGGCTCCGAGTCGTCGTTCGCAAACAGTGAAGAGTCAAGACATGGAATGGCCGGAACCATTTGTGTGATACGCTCCGTCTCCGCCACGAATCCAAATCCCCGAACGGTTCTTCGACAGAGTGGCCTAGTGGCTACGGCGTCACGCTGGGTGCTTCGCTCTCAGCTGTGACACGGCGAGTTCGACTCTCGTCCCTGTCGATGTCAGATACTTGCAGAGGTTGTCTTTTTACAAGCCTTGAGCGTAAGAAGCAACGCCCGCCTGCCGCGTGCACTAAGCAGAGTCGTCGCTCGCAAACGGCGAAGACATGGAATGGCTGGAACCATTTGTGTGATACGCTCCGTCTCCGCCACCAATCCAAATCCTCGTACCGTTCTTCGACAGAGTGGCCTAGTGGCTACGGCGTCACGCTGGGTGCTTCGCTCTCAGCTGTGACACGGCGAGTTCGACTCTCGTCCCTGTCATTGGCATCAGAATAATACTTTTTCTCTCTCTACAGACCACGTCCTCGAGGCTCGCATAGATCCGAGATCGCACAACCAGCCACAATGGCTCGACAGTGGACACTCACAAGGGTGCGAACACTGCATCCAACGCCGTGTCTAAGTCGCTGTGTCTGAACAGTGAAGACATAGAATGGCTGGAACCATTTGTGTGATACGCTCCGTCCCCGCCACCAATCCAAATCCTCGAACCGTTCTTCGACAGAGTGGCCTAGTGGCTACGGCGTCACGCTGGGTGCTTCGCTCTCAGCCGTGACACGACGAGTTCGACTCTCGTCCCTGTCGATTTGCATATAACGTTTCTGTTTTTTTCTTTCTTTTTCTTACGAGCCTGGCCACTAGGTAGGTCTAGTTGTGCTTGTAGCAGCCTCCGGCCGACGACATTTCTGCGATCCAATCTTGGCTTCAAGCGTCAAGGCTCGGGTTCAAAGTCATGCACACGAGAGAAACAATGGCAGCGAAAGCGTCTTCTATTGATGATACACTGTTCTACAATTAATTATACTTGTTGTGATTGTACATTCGCCCGCAGGCGTTCATGCTCATGCTCGCGCTCGCGACGCGTCTATTGCTTGAAGTCGAGCACAACACGGCCGACGACCGTGCCCTTCTCCATGCCCTCGTAGGTCCTGCAAACACACCCACGTCAGCACACGCCCACACCAGTACACGAACGAGCGAATACGCACTCCTTGAGCGCCGCAAGCGGCTTGACGACGTAGTGGCACTTGACCTTGCCCCGCGCCGCAATATCGAGCGCCTCGCGCGCGTCCTGGCGGTTGCCGACGTACGAGCCGAGGATCGAGATGCCCTTCACGACGGTGAAGAAGATGTCCGCCGCCAGCGCCGCCTTCGCGGGCAGGCCGACGACCATGAGGTACCCGCCCGGGCGGAGGTAGTCCACGGCCTGCTCGTACGCCTTCGACGTCGCGGCGGTGACGACCGCGGCGTGCGGGCCCTGGCCGTCGCACGCGGCCTTGATGTCCGCGACGATGTCCTTGGACTCGCGGAAGTCGACCCAGCGCTCCGCGCCGAGCTTGAAGCAGAGGTCGCGCTTCTCAGCACCGGTGTCTATAGTGGAAGGCGTGTCAGCGCCAGGTACGAGGGAAATAGGGGGCGGGAAGACGTACCGACGGCGCAGACACGAAGACCCATGGCGGTGGCGTACTGGATGGCAAGGTGACCGAGGCCTCCGCCGGCACCGGGGAGGACGATCCAGTCGCCGATGATGGCGTTGGAATACTTGATGGCGCGGTAGACGGTGACACCGGCGCAAAGGATGGAGGCGGCCTCAGCAGAGTTGATGCCATCGGGGATGGGGGTGACATGGCGGATGTAGGACTTGACGTACTCGGAGAAGGTGCCGTCGACGGTGAAGCCGGAGTACTCGCCCTTCAGGCAGACTAAACGGACAAAGGTGAATAGTGAGTCGCCGGATAGGAGACAAGGACGTACCCTGCTCGAGGCCCTTCCTGCAGTGCTCGCAGTCCAAGCAGGAGTCGGCGAGCCACTTGACGCCGACACGGTCGCCGAGCTTGATGCTCTTGTCCTGGGTGTGTGCGCCGATGGCAACAACGATACCGACACCCTGTGCATACGCGACGTGTTAGCGCCGCGGATCGAAAGAGCGCGAGTGAGTACGTACCTCGTGTCCACCGATGAGGGGGGTCTTGGCGGGGATGGGCCAGTCGCCCTTGGCGGCGTGGAGGTCGGTGTGGCAGACACCGGTGCAGTCCATCTTGAGGAGGACCTCACCGGGCTTGAGCTCGTTGGGCTGGGTGACGGGCCAGTCGTTGACGACCTCGAGGGGGGCGCCGGTGTGGCGGACGACAGCGGCCTTCATGGTCTTTGGGATGACGTAGTTGCCAGACGACATGGTGGATGGTGTTTTGGATGGGGAGGAGGGAGATGGGGGGGGACAGGGGCGGGGGACGCGGTATTTATTGCGTGGGCGCAGACGCGTTTTTCGCGGGCGGCGCGGCTGGAGCAGCCCAGTCCGGCGTGTGCAGAGTCTCAGCGTGGCTGAGCAGAGGACTGCATGTCGCCCGCCTGCTTTTTTTTACAGGGGCGGGCCTCGATCCGTCTTTGGAGCCCGCTTTTTTGGACCACCCACGAAAAACCCCTCCCGCGCGATCAGGCGCCCGTCCACGGACGCGTCCAAAACGGGCCCAGGCGCAGCGCGTCACCGATCGCGTCCCCGATTTGGGCTGCCCGCCCCGCCCCCTGTGTGCACATCGCGAGCTCGTCGTCGACCGCGGCGAGCACGACAGTCGCGCAACCTGCTCAGTACCCTCGGGCGTCGACCGCCGACGTTTTTCTCTCGCTGGATGTCTCACCCGTGCAGAGACGCATCACGATCGCCTCGCTCTAATTGCAGATCGCTTCCATCCACCTGCGCTTTGCGTCCCGTTTGCAAGCCCATGTATGCCGCACCCGCCCTTCTCGTGTGAAATTCGTCCGTCCACGAATCAGCACCATCCGTCGCCCAGCAGCCTCTGCAAAGCATCGCAGCGTCGGCCTACCCCTGACCATCGCACCCTGCACCCCCATCGCCCCATCGCACAGCTCTCGCTGCACACCCATCGATACGCGACACACAGGCGTGTGGGCGCAGCGATCCAGTCGAGGGCGGCGGCTTCTCGGCCGGCCCTGGCGCGGCGGGCTCTGCAGGCGATGGTGGGCGACGCCGCTCGAACGTGCAGATCAAAATCAAGTCTTCGACGGTCGACCTTCGATGCTCGGAGGTCGGATCTTCTCCTTATCTACGGACTACCTGCGTTGGGGATTCGGAATACCAGGGCATACGCTTTCGTTGTTGCTGTATGCGGGCCTGCGAGCCCGCGCGGTGCTAATGGGACGCGCTCCGCGCGCAGCTCGCTGTGGGCTATGAAAACATGAGAACACCGCGGAGGACGACGTGGTGGGAGTGTCTTACGGCAGCGGGACGCGTCCCGACGAGTTTATAGGCGTGCTATTCCAGGCAGCCGCCTCGACGTTCGTGTCGGTCCTTGGATGGGCATTGCGGTACGCTCGCGGCGGGGGGATACACATAACGTTCGCGTGGGCATTGTCCCGGTAGAGGTCATAGAACCATCATCGCGCGCCGTGCACTGGCATGCGACGATATATCTTCACCTGACCGAAGCGGTACCCGTGCTCATGGGATGCAGGACGCGTCTCCGCGCGCGCAGCCCGCTGCTGGCCAAGAAACCTTGAGAACCGCGGGGGCCGACGTGGCGGGAGTCGGGCGCGTCCCGACGCGTTTATAGACGTGCTATTCAGGGCAGCCGCCTCGCACGGTCTGGGGTCTAAAGCTTGCGGACGCATTGACGGTGTCGGCTCGGGGATCGATGGGCATCGCGGTGAAGGGAGTACACAGAGGCTTCTAAGCGTAGGCATCGTTCCCGTAGGGGCAAACCGGTCATAAATCCATCGTCGCGCGTTGTGCACCTGTGTGCGACTATATAGCCCTCACCTGACCGAAGCGGTACCCGGCGGCGCCCCTCCTGCTACCCGCCTTTGGCAGGTGATATATGCGCTCGTCCGTCCTCACCCCTCCCCGTGACTGCCCTTGCTTCGAAACGCGTTCGAGGCCCGCGATGTGGCGACGTGTGTATAGGGTATTGCGCATCCCGGTCCCATGCATAATACATGTACACTGTTCACGTGCGGAGTACGCGACATGCCTGCGAGACTCCGCGATATCGCGGCCTGCCTTCCATGTCCCTTGGCTCCAGTCAATGAGATCCGCGACCGCCCTACAATAGACACCTAGACACCTAAACACCGAAATACTGCAATACCGCACTGCACACGACGGAGTCTCGGAGACAGACGTCAATATTCAATATCGGTATCACTATTATTCTCGTACTGGTACACGGTATTAACATATCGGACCGGAGACCCGAAGACGGTAGACCCTTGGTATATGTATGGCGAACTGGAACGGAGGACGCGCGCGGGCGTGTTTTTTGGGTACTTTTGCTTGCTTTTGTTCGTATGACGCGATGGGTGGGGCGGCGGGCTGGTGGTGGTGGTGGTAGTGGGACGACGACGACCTAGTGGTGGTGGTGGTGGTGCCCACACGCCGACGGCGCCGCTGGTGCCGCCGATGTCGATGCCGCTGTCGATGAGGATGGCGATGGCGAATCAGACGAGGACTCGGACTCGGGCGCGGTCATGTCGAGGACGACGCGCCCGACGAGCGTGCGCTTCTCCATCGCCTCGTACGTCCTGCGGCACACGCGTGAGTGGATCCTCGTCAGGAAGAAGGGAGAGCGGAGACTCACTCCTTGAGCGCGGAGAGCGGCTTCAGGTCGTAGAAGCAGCGCACCTTGCCCGACGCCGCGATGTCGAGCGCCTCGTACGCGTCCTGCCGGTTCCTGTCGTCCCACACAAACACACCGTCAGCCCCGCCCCCAAGAAAAAAAAAGAAGGAAAGAAGACACACGCACCCGACGTACGACCCCAAAATATTGATGCTCTTCGTGACCGTCCAGAAGATGTCCGCGTCGAGCGTCGCGCGCGCGGGGAGGCCCACCGCCATGAGCGTCCCGCCCGGGCGCAGGTAGTCCACCGCCTGGCGGTACGCCTCGGAGGTGGCGGCGGTGACGACTGCCGCGTGCGGGCCGCCGTTGGTGATGGACTGGATGTCTGCCACGATGTCTTTGGACTCGCGGAAGTCGATCCAGCGCTCCGCGCCGAGGGAGAGGCAGAGGGATTTTTTGGCGTCGCCGGTGTCTGCGTACGAGGATATTATGGGGAAGGAGGGAGGGAGGGAGGTTAGGACGTTGGATGTGGTTTCGAGTTAGAGACATGTGGATACGCACCGATGGCGAGGACGCGGAGGCCCGCGGCGGTCGCGTACTGCACGGCGAGGTGGCCCAGCCCGCCGCCCGCGCCGGGGAGGACGATCCAGTCGCCGAGCTTCGCGCCGGAGTACTTGATCGCGCGGTACACCGTCAGGCCCTGCGGTGTGCGGTTCATCAGCATTCACTGTGAGGAAGAACAGAGACAGAGAGAGACGGAGACGCACGGCACAGAGGATGGACGCGGCCTCCGCGCTGGCGAGCCCCGCGGGGATGGGCGTGACGTGCCGCACGAAGGAGCGCACGTATTCGGAGAAGGTGCCGTCGACGGTGAAGCCGCTGAAGGCCGCGTGCGGGCAGACTGCGAAGCATTTATTTGTGCGGGGTCAGAATGTGCGTGTATGCGCGACGCGCGACGCACCTTGCTCGAGGCCCTTGCGGCAGAACTCGCACTCGCCGCACGCGTCCGCGAGC